AAGCATTGGCTTCTGTATTCATTTCTGTAGCTCTTTCCTGCCAATCCGAAAACAGAATTGTCAATGTTTTACTCTTAATGTAAAATCACGTCTTTTATGTTTTGGCACAACCTTTTCTCTATTTTCTCCACTTTCGAGGTGGGTGGACATGGCAAGCATCGTGCTAACATTACCAAACTAAGTTGATTTACTCTTGTCTTAATTGATATCACCCTAAGAACATTCCCAATGAAATGGAAAAAGACAAAGATCCAAAATAGAGAATAAAAGTGAGAAAGTGCAAAAAGAAAGAAACGAGCCGTGACTATACCATAAAAGAGCTTTCAACATTGGTGTGAGGCTGAGGGTTTGTGTTTATTACATTAAGGTCCATCAGTCAAAGGCCTTTCTCGAGTACTCTTTTATAAAACAACATAAAAGAAGTTATGGACTTCCTTCAAGTAAAGTATTCCTTGAAAACTAACATATATAAAAGGGGAAAGGTACAATATAAAACTAAAGCAACCTTAAGAAGCCACATTGACAACAGAATCTAAAACTGAGGCAGTCTGGAGACTAAAAAGAATGCAACTAAATTCAACTCATATCATAGCTTGTTATTGTATAGCCACTTTAGATGGTGTTTTACAAGATATTAAGATGTTAAAATTACTTTGAAGGAGAAATTAAATTTCTAACAATAAAGTACTAAAAATTTGCACACTTCAAGCATTATGACAAGCCTTCTTTTGAGGTGAAGTGAGAAATGTATTCTTCAGCCATAACAGTGTATTTCTGGAGATCAGTGCAGGAAAAGCTTGATTGTATAAACTAAAGTAGATGAAGGAAAATTGAAATTTTAAAAATTGTAGATGCTAGTTTATATTGTCTTGATTTATTTTATTTTATTCTTTCTGCAGAGGTGATACTTCAATTTGATGAAATTTCCTATAGTTCAACAGGATCGAGTGGAACTGTAGTTTTTAATAATCTTTATGTCAAGAAGAGGTTAATGTAGAAAATA